GAACATATCCTGCCTGTCCTTATGCTCTTCCTTGTGCGCCGTTGCCTCGTTCGCGGCACCGCGCACTGCGTCGGCGGCATGGCCTCCGCGTGCTCCTCTGACAGACCGTTGAGCTGAATGCGTTGTCGTAGTTCGTTGTGCATTGTGTTTGAACAGTCTGGGGCCCATGTATATGCTGGTCGTGGAAGTGCTTCGCGCGCTCCTGCGTGCGTTGGAGGTACTCGACCGTTGCGATGTACTCCTGACCTTCAGCATGAAGTAACCTGGCTTGCTGAATCCTATCAACATCGCTGCTCATGGCGCTGACCTCGTCAAATCTCTCTTGCGCAATGTGCTCGGCTGTCTCGTCTGCGCGCATGCATGCGCGTTCATGAGGCGCCCGTAGTTCCAGACGGTGCTACACCGCGGATTTGGCCCCTGCCCACTGGGGTCCGTCCTTGAGAATGCACGAACTGCTCTCCGTGATTCCGAGCTTGTGCTTCAGCCCCCCCTAGTCTCCGGCCATGCTGATTTCTCAATATGAACGCGGTGATGTTTTGAGGTGTTGCATCTTCTCGTCTGCCTGTGCGTGTGACGGTACTGTTATGGTCTGCCTTATGTTTCTCTGCCTGCTCATTTACTATCATGAAGTGTTCGTGCTTGTCGAGGTCGTGGTCGCCGTGCTCTGTTAGCAGTCTCAGCTATCTATTCGTTTTCGCCGGCTGGATTTCTTGATTGGCGAGGACGGCTCCTTGATTCGCGATAGAAGTGCGCAGCCCTTGCCCGTGCATTTGGCGGCATTTCGCAGGCGCACATTGAGCGTGGCCAGCTCAGAGTGCTAGGCCGCGACCTCGGTCACAAGGTATTGCATCTGGCTCCACATACTCTGCTCTCCGTGGTCAAAATCCGCTGCCAATTCTTGCCGGCTTGTATCGTGCTGTTCCAGGGCGCATCACTCGGCGTAGCTCTCGGCCTTTCCGATTTCTAATCCAAGAGGCACAGCTTGCGCGACCAACTCTTCGTTGAAAGTACCAGCGCCCTGCTCGATCGAACGCATGTGTTTGCTATGATCCGCAGCTGCGTTCTACGCTTAGTGCTCGTATGTCTCCATATTGACGTGCCCGCGCAGGTTGGAGTTCCCAAACTTGAGGTCAGCGTCGGTGCCTGATGTCTGACTTGCTTCGGTGGTATCCCAATTGGTATCTGTAGGCGCTGTATCCTGGGATCCTGGGATATTGGTGTTGGCGACCTAGTGGCCAGTCTGGGAATTCGCGCCCCTTCTGGACCAGTTGGTCAGATCATTAGCTATTTGATGCATTTGTTCGATATCCTTGGAGGTGTTGTTGAACCTCTCATCGCTGTTGCACTTGTACTGCTCCGTCTATTGAACTTTCTTGTCGTAATTGTCTGTGACCTAGGTATGGTTTGCTTTCTCGCGCCCGGAGCTGTTTGAACCTGAGGTCGGGGGCTTGATGGCATGCAGCATGCACTTGATGCGGGCGATGTTCTCAGAGAGGTGATAGTAAGGTTGTCCTGTTCTTTTGTTGGCCGCGGTTGACTTTGCCAGCCAATAGACTTTCGTGTGGCACTGGCGTCGGTACCGGTAGTAATCGTCGTCGCTGTGTGTGATGTGCACCCATTCCTGGTTGGGCATCGCCTCCTCCTTTTCCTCCTCCTCCTCCTTCGCCTGATCAGGTGTCGTAGTTTCGATCATAGATTTCATTGTTTCGTCCAATTTTCATGCGGGTGCCGACGGCTGTGTTTTGGGTGCGGTGTTCTGGTCGTTGTTGTCGTCCTTTTCTGGCCAACGGTTGCGACAGTGGCACTTCCAGGTCTTGTTCGTACGTTCCGTTTGCAGATGCACTCTCAAGCGCCGTTGTTGTCGTCCTTCTCGGCACCCTGGTTGTGCATTCCCCTGCTATACTACACTGCAGATATTAAACCCTGTACTTGGTGGGGTTATGGTGCGTCGGTTTTGGGCTTCCTGGCGCCATTCATCCAGTGGAGGTCGAGCCGCTCGCGTGAGGCAAGTGCTGCGAGTAGTAGACGGTCTTGGGCTCGCTGAGCGCATAATATTATATGCCAAGCCCTTTCCAGGCTGCGTGTCCTGAGAAAGTACTCCGTGACTGATGTCGTGGGTGTCCGCTTGGTAAACCAACAACTGCTGGTTGAAGTTGCAGTCGCGGTGAATCACCCTCACGCGGATGATGCTTCAAACGCGGTTGATCACCCTCTCGTGAATGATATTGTAACCGCAGTTGACTACCCACTGGTGGATGATGGCGAGGTCAAGGTTGATCACCTTCACGTGGAGGTTGTTTGTTGTAGACGTGGAGCATGCTCGTCTGTTGGGAGGTGCTATTCACGTCGTACGCGCGCCGCCAGTTGCAGGCGGGCGCGCTGAGGCCATCCCCCCGCCCCTTGGTCCCGGCGCGCGGCGCGGCCAAAAAGGCCTTCCTCGTCCTCCTCCTCCTCCTCCTCCTCCTCCTCCATTATTATTCCTTACCTCCTCCGTGTCGCACCCCGACACCAGTCGCCAGGGCGGGCTGGACGCTTAGCCTGAGACTTCCTCACCATTTATGTTCCTGAAGCTTCAGACTTGCAGTAGCTTGACGGAGTGAGGGCGGGCGGTTTTCAAAATGTGGCGTTCGCCACAGCGCCGCGCACATTCCTCTTAAAAGTTTCCAGCAACTTCACGGATGGTGGGCGGGGGGCTTTCCACAATATCACTCTCGCGTTAGCGCCGCGCACACGCGTCTTAAAAACCTGGAGTAGCTTCACGGATGGAGGGCGGTTTTCCAAAACGTGGCTCTCGCCTGAGCGCCGAGCACATTCGTCTTAAATCACTTGCAACAGCTTCACTGATGGAGGGCGGGCGGTTTTCAAAATGTGGTTTTCGCCTTAGCACCGCGCGCAATCGACTAACAAATCGTAGCAGCTTCACGGATGGAGGGAAGTTCCATTTCAAAATGTGGCTCTCGCCCCAGCTCTGCACACATTCGTCTTAACAGAGTTTCAAAGCTCATTATGGCTGACGTCCCTGGGCACGATTCCGGATTGTCAGGACGCGACAGTCTCGTTGATTTGAGACTTTGAATTTGTGGGAACGGTGTTCAGGCACGATCCTGGCTCGTCAGGGCGCAACAAAAACGTTGATTCGCGGCGTTGGAGCCTCAAGAATGATGCTTTGGTATGGTTGAAGACGTTCAATCAGTTGTCTTCTAACGGGCCACTTCCCGCAGTGAAAATAAGTCTTTCTAGGGACCTCTGAAGAGGGAACTTGGAGGGAGGGTTTATTGCAACATCATGGGTGAGTCTTGGGTTAGCACTGGCCCTCCTCCTCCTCCTCCTCCTCCTCCCCCTCCTCCTCCTCCTCCTCCTCTTCCTCCTCCTCCCACCTCCTACCTCCCTCCCTCCTCTCTCTATTCCCTCCTCCCTCCTCCCTCCTTCTCTCCCTCCTCTCCCTCCTCTTCCTCCCTCCTTCTCTTCACCTCTACCTCCGCAGGCAAAAGAGCCCCTGGATCAGGACGCCCTCCCTCGCCCCCCCCCCCCCCGACGCGGATGGCGGGCGAACAGACAGAGGCCCAGGCCTCGCGCACGAGACGCGCCTAGATCGGAGGACGCCAACTGACCGCCCCTCCGATCCTGGCCGGGCGACCACTGCCTGCGCGCGCGAGAGCCTGGCGCCTCGCCTGCCCGCCCGCCGACGACTGCTATCACCCGGGTGCCACAACGGAGAGCTCGAGCGCTCGTGGCCTCGCAGCGCCGCGATTCGCGCGGGCGCGCGCGCACGGCCGGGCGGGCGCGCGCACGCGCGGCCAGGCGCGCGGCAGTGCGCGCGCGGCAGGGAGGAAGGGGGGGGAGGGGCGGAGGCGGGAGGACGCCAGCTGCCCCCCCAGATGCGGAGGCAGCAGCAAGACTCGCGGCGGGCGGGTTTTCGACGCTCCGCGGCATCCAGAGGCCACTTCCTGGCCCCGGGTGAAAAGCCGGGCACAGGGAAGCGGTCGGAGAGGCAGGGGGGCAGAGGCAAGGGGCGGGGCAGACACGTGGGCCAGAGGGCCGAGACAAGGGCGGGCTGGAGGTGCGGAGCAGGGGCGGGCCGAAGGGGGTGGGGGGGGGGAAAGGGGGGGTACTGTCTGCTTGGCGGGAGGAGACGAGAACGGGTGGGGTTCACCCGCCTTGCCCCAGAACGCTCGGTCAAACCGCCAAAGACAAATTTGCCGAGCGGTCTAACGCGGTGGCTCGAGGGAAAAGCAGATGCAAATGTGCAGCACTACCAGGCCATCCGTGGAACCAGTCTGGGCCCAGAGACCTAGTATGCTGTATCGGCTTTCCTGGTCAGAAGCCTGGAGGCCATGGCACGTCAAGAAGTGTCCCAGAACGGTGGCCTGTGGTATTGTATACTTCCTCAACCTCCGACAGGCCAATTGTTCAAATCCGCGGCCCCGACCCAACAGAAGTCTCGACCCCTTCCGCGGGGGCAGTTGAGCGCCCTGGACAGACTCAGGGGTCGATCCTTGGTCCCCCTATCCCAGACGCCCTCGCGTCGAGAAACAATCACGACGGCAAGTTGGCGGCAGTAATCGGTCTCTGGGGGCTGTCGTACCAGGCTCTTGGGACGTCCAGAAACGGCTTGGGAGATAAAAAAGCTGGCACTGAGAAACGGATCAATCCTTCCAGGTGTCCAAATGGCGAAAGATAAAGTCGTCGAGGCTCAGCGTACCCCGAGGATCCTCCGACATAGAAATTCCACGTACTGTTCCCTTCATTCCGAAGGGTCCTTGAGTTTTTTGTTGGGCCTGCACCAAACCCCGCAAGCCCAGGGCCCAGCGTCCGCTTGAACTTCGCGACGCCACAGGAGGCCTCAGAAGGCATCTGGGGCTTCCGCGGGGGCTCCGAAGGCACCTCCAGCGACCTCTAGGAACCTCCAGAAGACCCACGAACGGGCTGGCGCCATTGCCAGACAGGCGGGTCGGCTTTTCCTCTAAATCTGGGACTCCGAAGGCACGTCTCGGGCCCAAGGCTCGTCAGAAAACAACTCGGGATGAAAAGCCAGCTCCTGGGAAGGGGTCGAGAGCCCAGCGGGGTCGTCACGAAAAAGTCGCGACGTCCGACGCGCATTTCCTTTCACAAGAATTTGAAATCCGAGCGCCAATGCTGCTACAGGCGGACCACCAGCTTATCTCAGCTCACGGCGCGCTTCTTGGCCAGCGCAGCGGAGGCGATCGCGATCGCGTCGAGCGCGGAGAGGGGGCCCCTGAAGTCCAGGCAGAAGACATCTTTCGATATCTTCCCGAACATCAGGTAGATCGTGTTCGGGTCGTCGTTGACGACCAGCTGGAAGTTCTTGGCGCTCGCCTTCTTCACGCGACCGAAGAAGGGCAGCGCGTAGGAGTTCAGCTTCTTGTCCCAGCGCGGAGCCATGTTCGTCATCTGGTATCCCTGGCCGCCGCGCTCGAAGTCCACGGTGACCCTCCGGGGAACGTCGCCGAGGATGTTCGTCTCGTAGCCAATCCTGCAGAGCTGAGCCCGCTGCCGGACGGGCAAGCCTCGAGCCGCGGGCACGCCCTTCAGCAGAGCGGCGACGTCCGAGCCGCTGTCGTAGAGCAGGAACGTGGTCCCCCAGAAGTTTGGGACAATGCAGCCGAGGTACTCCTGGCAGTGCTCCGACAACGACGCCTGGGCCAGGCCACTGGGCCCCACTGCAAAGAACTGGCACGGGCTCTGCTCGTCTTCCCTCGAGGCGATCATGATGAGCTCGTCGGAGTGGTCGAGGCGCACCTCGTAGATGTGCGGGTAGGCACCGTCCTCGCCTCTCCGCCGGTGCACCTTGCACAAAGTGTAGCAGTCACCAGGCGTAGACCACCTGGCTTTCTTGGCAGACATGTCCTCGTCCAGCACATGCGACAGCACCCGCATGGGTGTCTTGCAAACCCCCACGTGCAACAGCACGCCCCTCACGAGCCTCACCGTGCTCCGGCCATCCAGCCACGAGGTCGGCACTCCGGCCGCGCCGCAGATGGCCTCTCGCAGGCACCAGTAGCAGTCCCGCATTAGCTCCTTGTCCGCCGCGGCATGAGACGCGGCAAGGACCAGCGAGACCGCGTCGATGCCCACGCGCTGCGCGACTGCCTCGCGAAAGACGCCCACGAGGTCGTGCAGCTCGAGCACCGCGGCCCACAGGAAGAGCGCCAAAAGGTGTGTGATCTCGAGGCTCGTGGTGGTCACGCCACTGGCCCCCCGCCCGCACAGGTCCAGGCACTGGAAGAGGCCCCTCGAATTGAGCAGGTTCTGGCCGGCCCCGCGGGAGGGCACCCCGAGCTCCAAAACTGCCTCCGAGACCTTCGTGCAGAACACCGCCGCATCCGTGGTGGCCGACTGCCTGTCTTCACCGCCCATAAACGCCTCCATCTCCTCCTCCTCGCCTGCATCATCGCACGCCAACGGACATACCACAGTTGCACCGTCAGGGCCGTTCACGCAGCGCGCGAGCCATGGACTCTGTTGCAGCGCCGCTCGAGGCACACGAGAGCCCACCGTTGTCGCACTGACAGCTAAGGGGATCTCGGTATTGCCGTCGGGTGCTGCAAAAACCTCAAAAGTATCCTGACGCGCTCCAGATCGGCGCTGGCGTATCCGAAGCAGCACACCGTCTTCCCCGGGCACCGAGCTGGCACCCTGGTCAGCATCGTCCACAAGTCGAGGGAAAGCGGAAGATTGTGAATCTTGAGCCCCAGTTGCCGTGTTGCCCTCCCCTAATCGCGGGAACATCGGTGCCCGGGGCGACTCTCCGCCATCAGCATATGCAGCGGCAGACATGGCAGCCACCGCGACCAGAGGGATATCCCATCCACAACTGAACACTCACATCCTGAGCCAAGCAGAGCAAACAACGGTGGAGCAGGAATCACACTGGGAAAAAAATGTGCGCACTGCGCCGGAATACCCCGCCCGACACGACACCACATGCACCAGAACTGTGTGAGGTGTGATCACAGGAAGACCCCGCAGGCCTGATAATCAAACAGCAGAAAGAGAAACCTAAATGATCCAAAAGGCATTCGAGAAGATGCATGTTCACCATGATTGATTAACGCCAGAGGGCGCAAAAGATCCCGACGTGCGTGGTACCGAAATCGTGTCAGCGGAGATCGTTGCAGCCATCGTCGCTTCTGCTAAAAAAACGAAGGCCAGTGCAACGACAAAACAAAAGGTGAGGACGATGAGGAGCAGCATCTGTATCATCGGCGGCGGCGGGGAATCACGAGCGCGACCAGGAGGAGGAGGAGGAGAGGAGGAGGAGGAGGAGGAGGAGGAGGAGGAGGAGGAGGAGGAGGAGGGGAGGAGAGACAAACACTTCGCAGAGGATGCAGACGATGAGGATGAGGGCGAAGAATCTCCACACGCGTTGCGCCGGATGCTTGCCAGAGGAAAAGGGGAGATGAGGAGGACGAGGAGGATGACGAGGAGGAGGAGGAGGAGGACAAAGAGGAGGAGGAGGAGGAGGAGGAGGAGGAGGAGCGTGACGGCGACGAGGAGTGCCCAGACTGGGACACACACACACAATATAGCAGCTGCCAGCAGTGCCAGCCGCTGGGGAACGTGCCCGTAGCTGCCACGTCAGAGCTGTGTCTGCTGAGGCGTCTTGCCTGCAGCTCTCGGCTTTCCGATGGCGGCGGTATCCGTATCGTGCTGGCGGCACCACCAAGACTGAGGCGCGACGGTGCCTACCGCCACGATTTGCAACCAACGGAGCGAGTTCCCCGTCGCCCCGTGTCGGGCCTCTCCGCGGCGCCCGCGCCCGTGCCACCGCGGAACGGATCGAGCTGGGCCTGCCGCCCCTTCACTCATGCTGCTGTGATGGGGTTCAGGTGGCGGCGGTCCCCCCTGTATTCCTCCTTCGATCTAAAGGGCTGCGCGCTTCGTGCCCAGCAGCCACTGAGCACCGCCGAGCCGACGACGAATCTGCACTGTACTCCAGCGCCGCCTCCTTGTGGCGCTCATCGATGCCGAGAGAAACAAAGAAGGAAACGGAGGAGGAGAAAGAGGAGGAGGAGGAGGAGGAGGAGACGCCCATGGAAGCGAGAATCCTCAATGTACCCTGGTGAGTGAAAGTAAGCACCGAAAGAACTATTCGTCATCCTGTGGCAGACACCTCAGAGCTAGCTGCTCTGCGCAGGGAGGAAGTGCGCGGAACGCGCGGGGGCGGGGCGAGCCTTCCCATGCTCCTGCCAGTTTGATTTTCTGCGTTTCACACATTTGTCCACCAGCCTGGCCTTCCTGGATACCATCGCGTTTGGTGCGCCTGCCACCCTTCTTGGGTCGCCTCGGGGCGACGGCTGACTCGTTCGTTCGTTCTCTTCCTAGCCCCTCTGCGCGCGTGCTGTGCTGGTAGCTGTATTTTCCACAGGCGCACCGAAACAATTTCAGACTCTTGTATGCTGCCCAGTGGCTGCATACACCTACAATAGGGTGGGTGGCTAGGCTCAAGTGATTTTGTTCCGCAGCCAGAGGTCCAGCGAACAGTGCAAACTGGGGGGAAACTAACAAGCGCTAACGCCAATAGAGGAGGTAGCGTGATTGATATATCTCTCCTTCTCATGCCTTCTCTCGCCGCTGCCCTTGTATGCTTCGTTGATCCATCTGTCGCTGCAGTGCATGTGGCGCGAAACTGGTACCTTTCGGGTGAACCAGCGCTTTCTGGACAAAACAATGCCTACCCGACTACAGCTGCGGTTGCTTGAGATGGATTGAACCTGCACTTTGGTTTGGGAGCTCGCAGCTGCAGGACCAGCTGTTCGCCCTGGAGGTGGTGCAGACGCCACACGAAGGTGCGCCCCAATCGGTTGTGGGACGAGTCAAACCGAGAGCTGCGACGATGCAGCCTTTTTTCTCCGTGCTCGAGCGTCGCGGCGCAAGGCCGCTTTTCAGGAGAGCTTGGAACGGAAAACGGATGCGGCCGCAGAGTGCACGTTGCTACCTGCATGCTGCTGCTCACATGCCAAATCTCATCAAAATCCTCATGCAACAAAAAAGGGCCCAACACTCTTTTCCCCCGATCGGCGCCTGGACCCCGCGCATGTGATGGCCCGACCTCAGAAGCTCGGCGCTCCGCTCTCTTGGCGCCTGTGGCGCGCGCCCGTGCCGTGGCCCAGCTGGCGCCTTAGTCACAGTGGACCCAACCAATGGTAGCTATGGCATGCAGCGAGCGATAGCACATGTCACCATGGACCGTGCCAATAGCCCTCAAGGGCAGCAGTCGCACGGTATGCCCCAGCACCGCCTTCCAAAAGGATCGGAAGCCTTCAAAACGGAGGTCGGACCTCCGCTCTGAAACGTTTGTCCTCCACGCTGGACACCCTCCCTTCAAAAGAAAAGAGGCTCGACCTCCAGTGGAGGCCTTTTAGTCCTCTGGGTTGTCCGCCAACTGAATGCTCAGCAACAACACCTCTGGCAGCTAGGACTCGGCTGGGCGCCTCGTCTTGAGGACGAGGCGCCCAGGCAGACGTCAGCCAAGCCTCGGCTCGGAGCCTCGTCTCGCAGACGCGGAGACGTAAGCCTTAAGACTCGGCAGAAAAGACTCGGCCGGACGCCTCGCCCTAAAGACGAGACGTCCACGTCTGCGCGCCGCCCCGAGCAGCGACCCAAAGGATCCAAATGCGCACCCGAGAGGCCTCTGCCCCAGCAACCGGAGCACCGAGGCGGGAGGGCCGAAGGCCACTGGCGGACCGGGCTAAGCGGGGCTTGCTCCAGCGGGACGCACGGCGCCTGCTGGGGACGGAACATGTCCTGCTGCCAACAGAAGACCACGGTGAGGTCGGGATCCACCAAAGGGGGGATGACGCTGAGGGGGGACATGATGTCGATCCGCTGTTGCGCCGAACTGCCGCAAACAGATACCCCCCGCATGCCCCACCCATTGGCAACCATTGGGAGCTGCCTGCGGCTGGGGGGGCATCTGTTCTGGGCGGTTCGATGCAAAAACCGATCGAACTCTCACACTCTCGCACACTCACACACGCACACGCACACGCACACGCACACGCACACGCACACGCACACGCACACGCACACGCACACGCACACGCACACGCACACGCACACGCACGCACACACACACACACACACACACCGGCCCCCCCCCCCTTTGCGGGATCCCGATGGGGTCAGGGGGCCTGCTCCTGACGTTGGCCTCGGCCGCGGCCAGCCGCCCGACGAGCCGGCGAGGCGCAGCAGCCCGCCCTCGGCGCGCACGGCTGCGCCCAGCGGACGGAGACGCCGACGGCCCAGAGCGACCCGCCGAGCCTGCCAACGACGGCTCTCTCGGGGCCTCCGCTCCGAGCAGGAGCCAAGGAAGCCCAGAGGGCACCCAAGAGAGCCCCAAGAAGGCACCCAAGAGAGTCCCGAGACGTCCCACGACGGTCGAGAACGCCGCCCGTGCACCGAACTACGCCTGGACTCCTCAAAGGCCCTGCTCCGACGCGGCACGGAATGTAGTTCATCGTCTCTGAAAAGCGGAAACCGATGCACCGTACCAGTCCTGGTTCGAGGATCGACGACGTCTCGGGAGATGCCAATGCTGCACAGTGCATACAAGTCGTCCGCGCACGGAGCGGGATGCCCGATCGGAGCGCCGTAGCCTCTGGTCCGCCCTGCGCACTGGTCCTGCGAAAGGGCAGACTCGGCGATTTTGGTCAGCCGCCTGCCAGGTTGCCCAATCGATGATACCGTTGACCGCCGGCGCGGGCTCCCCAGGATGATGAGGGGAGGGGAGGAGGAGGAGGAGGAGGAGGAGGAGGAGGAGGAGGAGAAGGAGGAGGAGGAGGAGGAGGAGGAGGATTACAGTGACGAAGACAATGGCGAGGACCACCGATTGTATATCTGATCGCATACGCGTCACCGAGACGACCACGCGTACATGTCTAGAAGTCATTGGCCAATGGTATTGGGATGAACGGCGCTCGCTACAGGAGCTTGATGCGCGCACGGGAACAGATGCTCGACGTCGGCAGCGCTCGGAGAGGCGACAACGGAGAACGGGAGGGTTCAGGGCTTTCTCTGGAGCCCCAGATGTTCCCGAAATCGGCGGGTTTCCTCAAAGCATCGCCCTAAGTATCCCAATGGATCGTGAGTGTTTAAAACGTATCCGCTAGCGCCAAGATCCGCTTGCTGGGAGCGGGGGGGGGCTCTGGACACCCCTTCCTGGTGCGCGGAGCGCGCCAGGGGACGGCGATGGAGGCGCCGCCAGGGGGGTCCAGCTAGCGCCGATCCGAGAAACCCACGCGGATCTCACAAACAAAATGTCAACGTGTATGGTCAATAGACCGCAAGAAAAACATCCCGTGATAAAAGCGCTTCTTTAGGGTCGGCGGGTGTTCGGCCAGAGCAAAGAAATTACAATGCATGCCACAACGGAGCAGCCGACAACCGACCAAATGCAGCATCGGCTAAACAGCCAGCGGTCAACACATGTACTCTTTTTTTCCGCGACCAAACGACTATGCCCCCCATCGCCAAATCAACAAAGAGGGTCGAACAGATCGGCCGAAACGAAGAGGAGACCTGCGTTCCGCTATATTCGCACATCGTGCATATGTGCGTCCATAAGTGCACAGACATAACATCGAACCGGTTCGCATTATGTCGGGAATGCGGTGGTGACGGAATGCGCGATGTTCGTACAGAGGGTGAACATAAGGTCTGGGAAAAATTAAGCGCAGGAAGAGCAAGAGGGCTGGAGGAATCATTGTGCAAAGTGCATTCTGTCCCACCCAAAATTAAGGCCATGTTGTTGCATCTTGTGACTTGCGTGCCTCACCTGGCAAGAACTTACGCGACCTTCGGCAACAAAAGGCAGGAGCAGGGGCAAGAAGAGCAAAAGGAAAAGAAAAACATAAACAAAAGTAAAGTGCGTCCCGT